TTTTTTTAATTATTCCCTCAGGAACCCCGCTCTTCGAATAAAGCGCAGGATTTTAGATGTGGGGGCGTCAAAATAGTTACTTTGTTCCATAAAGTACTGACCCAAGTGACGTAGTCTTAAATAAGCTAAAGCCTCACATTCACACAGGATATGTGTGGCTCTTACGTTTTCTGACTGATACCTCTGACAAGTGGGACTATCACTTAGTCCCAGTTTGAACAGGTGTCCTTTGAGGTGACAGTGTCCTGTAAGTAGTCCTACCGCCCATTCTTCTGAGCATACTGATATAGCAGTTTAAACCGGCCATTGTATTTGTTAAATTGTTACATCAAGCGATGAAAGATTCCGAATGCTGGCAAACATTTCCCGAATTAAAACTTTTCCTAATATCCGAATGAATGTATTTTTTTTTTCGCTTTTTCTCAAGGTTTACTGAAGGAGCCGTATAAATTATACACGTTTTGCAGGGCAGCATCAGGTGCGGCATTTTCGTCAAGAACTGTCAATGAGGGTGATATTGCATTGTATTACTTTTCTCGATATTTCTGCAAACTGCGAATAGTTTGATGAATGTAGCCAATCTTACGGCCTAGACTGGGACCGGAAAAGGACAGAGAATGGTAACGACTGCCGTCGTCCCTTCGAAACACACATGTGAACAAAATGTATCTCAGGTTTTAATATTCGGTAATTCGGCTCTTTCCTCATGATGTATATCTATGGGTTCGATGCAATTTTCTGAAAGAGCAATAATAGATTTAACTTTGTAATTGAAATGGACGGTGTTTTCTGTGAGGTGAGAACTGACTTTTAAAATACTTTTTATATTTATTTCAGACCGCCTCCGTGGTCTAGTGGTCAGAGTTCCTGGCTACATATTCAGTAGTTCAGGTTTCGATTCCTGGGGCTACCAGATTTGCTGAGAAGTAGTGGGTCTGAAACGGGGTTCACTCAGCCTCGTGAGAATAACGGAGGAGCTATTTCAAGGAAATAGCGGCTCCTGTCCAAATAACCGAGATTAACGGCCGTGGGGATCCGTTGCGCTGACCACTTGACACTCTCTATCCGTTATCACCAACTTAGCCGACAAGCGGCGGTCGCTCGGTCGGTATAGTTCGCTTGAAGACTACAGGCCACGGAGAGTTAGATTAATTTCATGTCGAATGACTACTTAAGATACATCCAGTTACAACCTTCATTTCGTCATCCAACATTTGATGCAGTTTAACAAAGGCAACATCTGCTTCGAGAGTGCAGTCGGTAAAGCTGCCGGTTTCTGTCCGGCTGTATGAGCAGACTTGTAGTAAGGAGTCCCACATGCTGTACCGGATTCACTGCCCTTGCTGTAACTCTGCACACAGGTGGAAGACTTTTCAGACCTTATTGAAGTATCGAACAACGCTCAGCTCTAAATATGGGGCGCACGCAGTCTGCCGTCGCGTCCATATGGACCAGAATGCAAAGTAATGTTTTGTAACAGGGTGTTCACAAAGATTGCTTCCTATTTTATACCATGATTTCATTTTTCACCACCGCTGTCAGATCCTATGTTACGCGCTATCGCTGCTTGTACACTCTCTTGGAAGGTTAAGAATTATTTTATAGATGGATCTGTGTTTCAGGAAATTCGAAATTCTGGAATGCGAAATACTGAGTTTTGAAAACGGATTAGACTGCTCTTAAGGTTTCATCTTTGTTCCTTCATCAGATGCGTGTACTTAATTGGATGTAATACTGAAAGTAAAATAAATAAATTAGATTGAAAAATTTAGGTTAAGATTGATACAACTGTCATTAGAATTATGATACAATCAGTTTGATAGGCGGATAACAAAGTTCATTCTAACTTGAAGAAGGAGACAGCCCGTTCCTCCAGAATACAGCAGATATTACAAACCGGAAGGTTACGATATAAAACTGATTAGATTGAACTGAAATTGTTTATTAGCTTAACTTTTTTTTATCATTTTCTTTACGTAAAAGCAATGGAACAAGTACCGAAACAAGGATCGATATTCTCGCATCAGTGTGTTCTTCTTTCTGTTCGTTTCTTATTTCTTCCACGACTGCACACATTGTCGTATCGAATTCAAACGGTAAGTTCGACAAGTTTCGAAAGAAATCAGTCATGTATTTTGAGTTGTTACTCCACTGTTCGCTCGAATCTAAGCTCAGGCAGGATGGTTGGTATCCGCAAGACATAACAAGCCTGGGGATTAACAAATGAAAAGCAGGAGTACTAACCATTTCGCAGCAAATATAGATCTGTCATAATGTTGCATCTCACAGATTTCTCTTACGATTATGTGTTATGAAATACCCGTAAATAGTTGTGTTTGACAATGAAGACTGGTGTGTAATTGGGTGTGAATCCGTGTTGTTTGGTACAGAGATATCAACTTTTGGTAGAACATACTACCTCCTTCTTCAGGGTAGAAGAAAATTTTTCTCTTAAAAGTTGGTTTATGTTTACCACACTTCACAGCATTACATCCCAGATGATAATAATCTTAACTGAATAAATAATCTGGAAGATAACAAGTATGTAGAAGATCTATAAGAAGTTATTAAACAAATTAGTGATAAAACTCAAGAGTTTGTTCTGTCAGAAATTTACCGAAGTTTCGAAAGAATATTTTGCCTCCATATTCAGGTCATATGAAGGCGGGGTATTATTCCGAGAAGAACATCAATCAGATTACAAAATGAAATAGTCCAGAAGACTACAATATTTATTTTCACCGACGTAAAAACTGCAAGTCTCATACATGCAATACCATTCCAGCACACAGACCAAAGATCGGACAACAGTTTACGAAACATCTTGTAGTATATGATACAAAGTTATTCGCAGTGACCACTGCAGCAAAGAAAACCGACTAGTGTGTGGGCTGCTAAATGGGCAATAAACTACAATTAGGTTGAGTCTCGGAAGCAACTGAGAAAATAAAAAGTTGAATAACTATTGCTCGAAATGTTTTTTTTAGATGGTCATAATTTTTTCAATTCTAAAGCGTCTTGAAAACTAACTTGATGTCACTGCCACCATGGTTCTTCTGGCAGAGTAAGGGCACGTCTACCAAAACAAGAGACGAGCTCTTCTGTGACATTGTTACTGTACGTTTTCTGGCAGTGTAATGGCATTTCTGTCAAAAGAAGGACGAACCAAGGGAGGTTCTGCTTGTAATCCTCAGTATTCACAGAAGAAATGTGGATCATCTTAAATCAGGCTACGCCGGTGTCTTTTCACGTACTTTTCAATGAGTTATTCACGCGGAATTACTGGGATTTGGACTTTTTCCATCATCATCCATCATTTTCCAAAAATCCGCTAATTCTGTGTGTCATCCACCATCGTCAGAACCCTTTAAAATCTACAGTTTATTCACAGTTGATTGCGACGTTACGAAACCTTCCATTTGAGTGACCATCGCTAAACAAATTCATGCCACGCCTAAACGCAACGCTTACAAATACTGGCCATTCTGCTCTGTACATTCTCAGTTCTATTGGATCAGGAAGATGTTTCCTGCCATCTCTTATTAGTGTTCTAGCTAAATTACTCTTTGCTTTTCGGCTTCAGTGTTTATATCTTGGCATGAAAATATATTAACGGAAGTTTCTTTTGGTAAGAGCAACAATGAATGCACCAAATAAGAAATGAACAACAAAAAATAGGGAGAACAATACCTTTAGAAGGAACAATATTTGCAGTTATTAATTCCCGTCACAGTTAAATTAAAATGAATATGATAATAGCTTATTTCTTGCATCCCAAATTCCATTGCAGATTATTTCGTGGTTTCTTCTGATACTTTCTAGCAGCAGCAGTTATGCAAGATCGCTGGATATCGACAGCCTAACTCTTATGTGTATCAGGCGGGCCTTGCAGCATTGATGGAGTATGAAAAGTGAAAACCACCGAGCACGCGAACATTTTTGTTGCAGTTAAGATATGTTGTCCTTATGGACGAGTTTTTACTTTGCAGTGGCGTGAAGACATACGATTTAAAACTAAAAACGGTTAGTGGCCGGATTCTCACTGTAGAGACCAAGATTCAGGTCAGTCCATATGGAGTTTGTGATGGATATAGCGGCAGTGAGGTAGGTTCGTCCATCACAATTACGATTTTCCCTTGCTAATTGTAATTCTACTAATGCTCCATATTCATCCATAATTAGAGCTTGGAATAGTAGGTAAATATGAGGTCAAAATGAGAGGATAGTCAATATGACCTCACTCTTACAAGCCATAAAATAAAACCCCATAAAGAAAACCGCAAGCCATAAAAATAAAATTTGTTCTGGGGAAGGAGGTTGGTACAAACGCGTTAGCTTCAAAGCCTGTCTGCTCTTGCAAAAAGACAACTAAAATTCCATGACTCCACCGATGGTGTTGGTGGAGTTTGAGTGCTCCTGAGTCCTTGAGAGTTATGCGGGCGGTAGCGTAGCTACTGGTAGGGGTCACCCATACCGGACGGGTCAAGGGCTAGGAGACCGACGAAGAGGGATACCGTGGCCCTCCAGGTTGAGGTTGGGCGTGAGGCTAAGAACTTCACACCGTAAAAACTGAATTGTTCAGAAGCCAGATAATCAGCATCTAAAATAAAATGTATGCGATAAGGAAGATTGGAAGACCCAGGTTGTGATGGTTGGAGGTTGTACATGATCTCCGCAAGATGAAAGTGAAAGGACGGGGAGGAAAGATGAAGAACAGAGAAGAATGGAGGCAGAATGTTCAGGAGGACAGAGCTCACCCTAAGCTGTAGCGCCGAAGGGAAGGAAGGAAGAAATATTTCACGATGCAACGAGGTAAATTTGACATTGGTTTCCAGAGTTAGTAGCAGCTTCTTTAAATAAGCCACAGAAAAACAAAATAAAAATACTTTACATTACTGCGATGCTTCTGTCGTCATTACACACCTAGCAAACATGTTGAGCGTTAAACTTTACAGAACATCTCGGAACGAACTGTCGCTGTGGGCAGTTAAAACACTTACCTTGCCGTGTCAATAAGGAGCTAGGATTTCACTGTAGTTCTAAAGCAGCGGAAGAAACAACGCCAGATTTAAATGGAATACTTCCGAAGGATGTCTGGAGGCAGATTTTGATAACCTGTAACCAAATCATAAATATTAAAGGGGGGGGGGAATGCAGAACATTTTAAATTTCGGATTTGAATGTAGATTAGTGGACAGCTTATCTTTTATGTTTTTCACTCCCAGGGATTATGCCTCAGTAATTATTTGGCAGGAGGTTCAGTGGGCCCCAAGTCGGTTTGGACATCACTTTGGTGAAGAATTCTTTTATTTATCGGAAATTTAACTACAGTCGTTTACTTGTTGACATCAGCTTTGTTAAATATTTTGTTTGGAATTATAAGATGCCAATTTCTGATGAAAGTTCACTAAAATATGAAATCAGATCTACTCGATATATAAGCTTTGAGATTCTCACATCGGCATATATTAAGATAGGATATGCTCAGACGTGGTATTGTGCAGTTTAGTAGAAACGTAATACACCTCTAGGCTGAAGATGAAGGTAAGAGGTGCTTCCGTAAGGTTGGTCTCCAACTATAAAACTACACGGCTTCACATTCAGGAAGACTGTACTCTTAAATTTAATTCGTTTCAAAGCAATATACGATCATATTAGGCTTTATAATAAAATGTATTATTGAAGAAACAACAATATAAAAATGAGTAAAACAAATTACTATATTTAAATAAACACATAATCCTACGTAGTCAGCACTATATTGCAAATGAAAGCGAAACCAAAGACACGACAAACATTTATGACCGCAATAATTATCCATTTTTAGACGGCGGTTTGGTTGTGAACACGATAATGAACCTTCTGGTTCCATAAAATTCTGGGAAATTCTTGAGTAGCTGCAGATTTGGCTTCTCCTCAAGAAGGCCTTAGCTCTATAAGTAAGTAAGTAAGTAAAATAATTCATAAAAGTTTAGTTTGCATAAGGCCATAAATGGAATAATCCACATATCCCACAAACTCTTCCTCAGCTATAAATTAGATCCTACATCTGAGATATTTACTGATTTGTATTTCCTTATTCCCATTTCTAAGGTGTGTAATAGACTTAAAAAATCATGAAGAATACCATCTTCTGAGATGTGTCGAACCGACGTTCCTCCGAAACGTCGGTTCACGTAAGATCTACATGGCACCACATCCCAGAAGACGACATTCTTAATAGTCACCACAGTGAAAACCTCAGATCTTCAAACATCGTCTTTGTAATTTCATGTACCAGATTACGGAGTACACACTTCCCAATCCCGTTCTGTACATCAGAAGCTAAATGAAACAGAAAATCGAAGAGTTAAATTGCCCACATATGGACCAATAGAAACGTGCAGTGCAGACACATGTCAGCACGCCACTGGATCAGCAGTCTTGTTACATAATACTCTGAGGTTCCTGACGACAAAAATTGTCAGCTATACCAGTTGGTCGAGTTGTAACCAGAAGGATGTATGGGTGGAGTCCTGACGGCTCAGAGGAGTAGAAATAAGATCAAGAGAGACCTGAAGGCGAACAGGGTTTGTACTGGAGATTCCTTCATTTGGATGTGACCGATGGATGCCGACCTCCAACATAAGCGCCACGTGCGAAGGGCTTTATCCGGCTGTGTTCGTGTACCGGTACAAATTCAAATAAAAATTGCCCATGTTAAGTATAATATTAAGGTTACAATCTCTCGTAACATTATGACTCACAGTTCTTGTAGACAGCCATAAGCGTTTCGGAAGAAATTGCTGTCATCATCTTCAGGGTACAGGAGAGAACTCTTTAAGACGAGGGAGGAGGTTCATCAGGCATGTTGGTACCTACCTACCACATTACACGATGTTTTAATATACACCATGTGACCGATATTAATGTTTTTCTTAAATTCGCTTGTTAGGGGGTGGAGTCCAACTGGGTCCACTCGGCACGGCGGCCACTGATTGGCCTAATGTAACCTACCCCGGGTGATTATGATGATGGAGAATTTGGTGGAATGAAGATTGGGAGAGGAAACCGAAGTATTCGGAGAAAACTCGTCCAGAGCCACTTTGTCCACCACAAATCCCACTTGACCAGACCCGGGATCGAACCCGGGCCGCCGCGGTGGGAAGCCAGCTACTAACCGCTTGAGCTATGGCGCGGCTAAGTGACCGATATTAGCCAAACTCGGTATGTATATCATATCACAGTGGGAAATCACATCTTTCAACTTCGTCCTCAGTAACTCGTATCTGTGAGAACATCTGAGGAGAGCATAACTATTGCTGTTCCATGATCGCTGCTGGAATCCTTTTCCAATGATTTCGAAACGTTCGAGTTTATTAGGATAATTTCTTTGCAGGACGCTAAAGAATTCCACGAATCAGAGTCTTTGTTGGTCACGTGATAGCCTCTCAAAATAGACAATAAATTCTTTCTTTTTTTATTAAAATATTCTTTGTGGTGGTCAGAACAATTCGTTGCTGGTCCTCGTCATGAGCTATTTGAATAGAGTTTACATTTTCGCAACATTACTTACCATCAATTACTATGCTAGAAGCCCGAAGGTCGCGGGTTCAAGTCCCGATGAGGTCATTGTATTTTTTCAATTGACCAAATCCTTCCAGCAGCACTATGGCCCTGGGGTCGACTCAGACTCTAGCAGAAATGAGTACCAGGAATATTCTTGGAATGTTCTCGGGGGTAAACGGCGGCCGGCGCCTAAGGCTGACAACCTTGCCGACATCTATGAGCCGATTGTATAGAGAATGTGGAAACCTCAACATCTCACAACCCTGTGGGCCTCCACGGCCTGTTACAGGGATAGCTTTACCTTTTACTTTTAATTTTGCTTACCATCTACATTAATATTATCCTCCAATTTACTTCTAGTACTAGTGAACTAACTCTACTGAACGAAGCCTTTCTAGGGAAACTGACAGTCGTTCAACAAGTTAAGAAATTCTTTATTCCTACCGTTTTACGTATTTATTACCGTTCCTGCGAGAGCCCGCGGCTGATCCACAGCCTGTGATAAATATATTTACTCGAAACCCTCACAACTTGTATCTTGAAGATATAGATTAATATTATCCTCCCATGGACAACGGCTACCGTGCCAACTGCAGCTGTTCATATGCAAATGGCGGCTTTCAGGGTCATGCTAAGTCTCGCAGTGTTCAGTATGATTATCATCTTGTGAGTGCTTTCAACGACGCCCTGTGGTTCTCTCTTGAATCATACCGGGAAACAAATGATACGCCTCTTTAATTCCGAATGGAGTCTATGCTCTCACTCTCAATTTGGCTGTGACCAGTTGTCGGCTCCCACGACTGAATGAAGTGCGGACATTCACCACAGTTTCTTATTCGGTACACCTACTGGGTTCCTGCAAATTTGAAATGTTTCTTTTAATAAAAAATGGCTAATTTTTAAGATTTTATTTTTATCCCTTTGAAGCTTGAACTTCAAATAATATCCATATATTGATATAAAATTTCGGAGAAAACACGCCTCACCTACATTACATAGGACAGATGGTTAGTGCTTTTTAGGGATATAACGGATTCTTATCACGAGAATTGGAAGAAACCTACAAGGACACTTTCTGGGATATAGACCTCCTTAATGACAAATCAGGCGGTACATAAGGTATCACTTCACTTTAAAGGGTCAATAACACATGGCATTTAGAGACTGTTTTCCTCCCCCCGTGTATTTTGGCTTGCTGGGAATCAATTCCGTCTACAGTATGCGCTAAATATGCAGTACTGAAACTCACGCATATCGAACGCGCAAGTGCGTTTGTCGACGGGGCATAGCTCCAGCCGCACGTGTTCCCAGTAGTGAAAAGGAAGTTGTGCTGTGCAGTTGTTGTTGGAAATGGGTCTCTCGACAGAGGAAAAAAATTCATAATGGAGTATTATTTCCTCTCATACGGAAGTGGTCGCCAGGCAACTCGCTTCCTTGGTTTTGAGCGGCCAGATGTTATTATCCAGAAACCGCTACACAGTACACGTGTGACGATTTGGTGTGCCGTCGCAGCACACGGTATATTAGACCCATATTTCATTGAGGATGATGAAGGCAATGCTCTTACTGTCACCCAAGAACACTACGGAGACATTGTGATCGGTCCATTTCTTCAGGATTTGAGAAGCTTCTGTCATGCAAGGGGCCTTCACATGAATAGACAGTGGTATCAGCAGGACGTCTTTTCATTTCAGTACTGAACGTTTTTGGCGCATTCTGTATTATTAAGTAGTAAGCGTAGGAGATGCCCTCGATTTGGGGTGGGAAATGTGACAATGATAATTCTGACAGACAGAACCTTAGAAAAGTAACAGGTTCAGTTGATACGAAGTGAAAAGAGAAAATACAGAATGTAAGTTCCATGGAATATATACACATCCTGCGGTATTTTAGCGACAGAGGCGAAGTCATTTAACAGTGAACCCTCCTATTTCCAAAGAGATGTTTCGTTTTTAAAACAGGAAATTACAGGCAAGATTCTATGGAATATATTCCCTCAAAGATTTCAGCTTTTTGTTAATTGTTTTTAACGTAGGCTGCGATTGTTCTTAGAAGAAAAGAAACAAAGACACACAAACGTGGAATAAAATAAAGGCCATAATAAATATTTAACAAGAAAGGGAGAAGAAATATAAGAACAGATCCTGAAACGGAAACAAGAGAAAAATAAAAGAGGGAAAGATGATGTTCTGGTAAGGATTTACCACAACTACACTATTCTAAGTATTTCAGTTTTAAAGTTGGTTGTTTAACGACGCTGTCAATGTCGAGACTATATTGTGTCTATAGTGGGATTATTAATAAATCTGGAGAAGTTGGCAGAATGAGAAATAGTCCATATAAGTTGTTCATAATTTCAAAACTCTGAATATGACATTAAACTAAAGATTCGCCGAGCGTTGCATGGTTCGTACTGTCTCGGAATATTCTAAAGCTGGAATTACGATTTCGAATCCCACGTGAGGCACGTATGCCATCTTTTGTGGGTGTTGCCTTGTGTAGGCAGAACCCTCACGATGGACCATTCTCCAGCGCACGGTGTTGCAGCAGATGTTTAAAAGAGGCAT